TTTCGGTGTGTAACAAATACGCAATGCACACCCGGAAGTAAAAGTTAATCTCGCTCATGATTAACAAAACACAGGCAGTGAAAGGAACACATGCACCAGTAAGTACAGACCCGCCGACACATCCGGTCATTTCGCGGATGACCGCGAACCGTCGCCACGTAGTCCCCTTTGATGTGGATGCATTTCTGCCACCGCGAATTTAACGCTTGCGGATTGATGCCCTGGACCACGCCTTGCCGATCCTGAGCAGGGCTGTCAATTCCAAAGATGCCACATCGTGTTTTGTTGCAGTATATAGTACTTTGCATATAAGGACTGAACGCTTCGACACATAACCTCTTTTATGCACCAAATACACCGTGTGACTACATTCTTCTTGACATTTTGGAGACAGAAGTGGTGTCCATTTCCAATTTGACTCGAGTTACATTATTTAACCCATTAAAGCAACATTTACCTATCAAAGCTAGGTTCCTTGACCTAAAATTCCCCTATGTAGACACCAGCAAACACCATCATGTGACAATGGGTTAATCACTATTTCAATGCTCAGGCAGGGCATTTCTAAATTCGACAACCATCTTCCCTCCGAACACTCGGAATTGAGGACGACAGGCCGAAACTTGATTAGTATTCCATTTTCGATGGCTCCTACGATCGGAAACCTTGGATTGGTCCTGGAACCTCTTTCTTATTCTCGTAGAATACATTTAGGATAAAATAAAAAGGAAAACGACATGAAAGTCGACCGGAGAATCCTTTCTAGACCCACGTATCGAAATCCCACCAAGCGATCCGTGTTTCCAAATATGGGTCTTCCTTCGCCAAACTGGAGGCACCATTTGCTGTCAGCTCGAAGTCAGCCTGAGAAGAGAGCAGTGCCTGTTCGAAATTAGAAAAAAAAATGGAAATAAATATTTAAGATAATGTCAAACGTCGGGCATAATTTCCTGTTGTGTAGATTCGAGATAAAAGGCTCGAGAAATTGTCGGAGCAGAAGGCTGCAACATGTTTCTTTGGCCTGGACGACGTTGGCGGTGAGTTGAAATCCCATTCATGTTTTTCTTTGCATTTTGAGTTGTCCTCTGCAGGATCTGTGACGGGAGTGTCGTTTGGTTACATCTGCTATGGCAAGGAGACCTGCGTCATCGACTGGCGGGTCGCCTTGAATCATTGGTTCGATGTCGTCGAGAAGATTGCCCACGACGAGGTGTAAGCACTCGCTCTTGCCTCCTCCCTCGCCCTCTTGTCTCGATGAAAGGACTCAAGCAAGGTTTTCATTCCGCAGACTCAGGAAATCCCGGACGACTGATTATATTGACGGAGAGTTAAATGACTACTCCCAAATGATTTGGGCAAAGTCGGCGAGAGTAAGTGACGCTCTTTTCAGAGGAAGATAACAATTTGAGAGACAGGCTTCTCTTTTAAGGTAAAGAACGGCCGTCTTAAATCACAGCGAAATAATGTACTTGTATGGGAATGTATTGACCTCTTCTTTCAGTGGAGAAAATTTGATTCCTAGACGTGGGAGGGGCCGGAAATCCAAAGCCGATTTACAACTTGGGATTTTTAAAGGCGTTCCTTCATTAAAGAAGCGCGAAATGTATTTACGGGGGATAATGGAAAGGTCGTTGTATCCTCACATTCATTTCACTCTTTAAAGCAGATAATATAACGATTTCTAAACGAATATTATCAGCGAAAACATGATTAATAAATTCGTCATTAAGACCTTGGCTAATTTTTTTCATGAAACAGGTTGGTTGTGGAGCTGCAGTGTGTGACAAGCTAGTCTCCTACGTGTGCGAATACAAACCCGTGTATGAATGATGCTTTTCCCATTTCGTTGTTCCCGAAGAGGAATCAACGAAACCCAATTCTTAGGCGTATTTCTCTTCCAGATGGGCTCACCATCACTTTCCGATATACGAGGCGGGCGCCACTGAGGACGACGTCGGGAAAGACTGCCTCGAGAATTCCACGGATTTCCCCGGGCTCTGCAAGAGCATCCGTTAGGCGTCCACGCCATTCGGATGAGCCCGAACACGAATCCTCCCAGAAGTTTTATTTATTTATCTTCTATATCGCCTGTTTCCCCAATTTCCTATTTCTATTAATTCCAAGCCCATTATCGAAATCCTGACCGCAGACGACGTTGAGGGGATATATGCTCAAGTGGAAAATGTTCACCGAAAAGTTTAAAATGAATCTGTTATAGTTTTTCATGTTGAAGGCAAATGCATCTACACGAATGTTGCCCTACAGATGTGTAGGACAATATCGTGTGTGTCTTGTTTGTGGACAGATGTGTCTTGTGTTTCTTCGTTTGATGTTGAGACAAATGATTTTTCAGTGACATGACTACGGGGAAATGCTTTCGTTTTTACATTCGGAGGGGTTTTCAGGTGAATTGAGAATCTCAGCTTACAATTAGGTTGACATCGGTACTTTCGTGTCCTTTGCTGCATGGATTTTTTCCATTTTCTCACGTTCGAGATTTGAAGACACATCGCGGCCTCGTGATGAGATCTGAGGCTTCTCATCTGCACCGTGTTTGAGTATTGGGAAATACATGTGTCTTCATGGTATCGTTTCCAATCTGAATTCGCCACAGTTATACTTCTTGTATATCCGTGATCGCCAGCCAGCTTCATCAATATGTATTGTCGGAATGCGCCAGTAGGACTCTCGAACGAGCCCGGCACGACCTAAATGACAGGGAAGACGTCTCTCACGGCTCGCAGGAGTTACATACAATCCACGTCCCCTGCAATTGAAACCTTTGGAATCGGGCTGGAACCAACTTATCTGCGCATTCACTTCCGATGGCAAAAGGAAATCGGCATGCCACTCGAGCGAGTACTCATGGACTAATTCTAGAGCCACGTACTTAAATCACGTCCGGTGATACACAATGTTCAATTGCAAAACTCAAGGGGCCTTTGTTAACAACTTAAATTGTCAGCTTATTTTTGTTCCATGAACAAAACAAAAATTCTAAGAAATATTTCCGTCATTAAATTCCGCTGTACATGTGACGGATGGAAGCCACAAAGGACAGACGAATGCAAAGGCCAACATGGGTTTCCTATTCCTAGATTAGGGCAACGGTGAGTTAAAATTCCAGGGATATTTTCTTTAGCCGTTTTTCAGGAAACGACTTTGGTTCGCATGTCTCACGAAGACGTGACTTACTTTCACTCCTGCAACGGCAGGGACCTGTGTGATCGACTGGCCGGTCGCCACGAGGGAATGGTTCTATGCTGTCAAATGCTATGAGCACGGCGATGTGTAAGCACGTGCCTCCTGTATCCTTCTGGCTTTCTCTGGCTCCTTTTTTCCCCCTCCCGTCTGGATGAAAGGACTCGGCCTGGGTATTCATATCAGACTCTCCGCTATTGCTGATGAAATCGATTCCGTATTGGAGAGCTAGTTCCAAACGATTTAGGCGAAGTCGGCGGAGGTTATTGCTAGTAAGTGTCTCACACAGAAGAACAATATGAAAAAAGCTTTTACATTTAACTTAATTTATTTTTAAGCAAGAATATAACAATTCTAAGAATAAATATTCATGGATGCTTTCGTAAAACAGATCGGTTGTCTGTAAGAAAAGCCAGACGGGACGATACTTTACAGGGTGGTCCAAAAGTCTCCATACATAGGGAAAATACAAAATGTAACTTCATTCACAAAATGTGCTCTACATGGTTGCCATTACTTTGAAAACACATACGGATGCGACTCTCCCATTCATGGTGAACTCGCGTTAATACATTTGGTGTTATGCGTTATGTTAAAGTTAAACATTTTTAAGAAGTGTTAATTTTCCTCATGTATGGAGACTTTTGGACCACCCTGTATGTGTTCTGCTACAAACCCACATATCAGGACTTTTCGCGTTTTCGAGAGAAGTTTCCGAAACCCGAGTCTAATACGAATATGAGCTTTTGGATGGCCTCACCGAATCCTCCCGGTCTACAAGGCGGGCGTTTTCATGTCATCACTTACATGTCCATCATCCATTGATTCCCCAGGATCTCGGAAACATCATGACAGTGTATGCCGCCATTGGAGAGCGACGCAGACCGCAACCGTTTCAGTAACCGTTAGTCATTTACTGCATCCGTGAGAGCGAACAGGGCGACCTTCCACCTCCCCTCATGCATTGTAGTTGAGCGATGCAGTTTTATTGCATATTAGATGTGATTACTTACAGGCATCACTTCTCCGAGTGGCCCAATCGCATGAATAACATGCCTGCCGCTTAGAAATATAAGTGTAAACATTGGCAATTAGAGGGAAAAGTGCATGACAATCTCGTTGATGGATGACGTCAGCGGCTTTCGATCAGTAGCGATTTTTTCGTTTTTTACCCAAGGATGTGCTTCCTGAAGTGATTATTTCCTTCAAATAGTTCAAAATGTCGTGTTCTTATTTACTCATATTATTCATCATTTTCTTTGGAGGTTACAGCAAATAAACTTTTAACCGTTAAGATCTGGATTATCTTTTTTTCTTGACCCCAAGTTTTCCATGCTATCAAGCGAATTCACCGCCAGCCATTTTGTTCCATGTGACAGATTAATGGTTAATCTTTATCTTACTAGGTGCAACGCAAGCAAAGCTGACCGATCCTTGCACACTCCAGAATTATGGTGACGCAAGAAATTATGGAACAAGTACCTGAAGAGGTTCTTCCGTCACTCGGCTCGGTATCGGTTCAAGAGACGAGTGATGAAATTACTCCATCTAATCGTGAATTTCTTCGAAGCCAATGGAACTGAAAATGACGAAGTATCCCGTCAGGATTGAATCTCCCTCTAGGAGAAAGGAAATGGCTGAACCCATCGCCTCCACCGAGAAACTTGAATGGTGCATGGAAATAACATGCATTTATTTTCCTGAAAAACGTTTCCGAAGAATGAGGCACTCCCTCTGCTCCACGAGAAAAAGGAGGTGCATCCAGGACAAACGCCACATTCAACGCATGAGACCACTCGTCACACCAGCCTCCACTGCATAAGAGTAGCATCGGTTCCTCCGGCTGCAATGATGAGGCTGTCTTGCAGGAAACGAGCACAAGAGATGTATGCGCTGATGGCCCTTTGCATGTGATACTTCGCTTTGGGATCTATACTTGGGTACCTACGAAATAAAATAACACTTTTTCATTATTTAACCCTGTAATTCCCGACCTGGGTCCAGTGGACTTTGATACCGCAATTTAACCATTTGTGCAGGCTGCGCCATGAACTTGTAAAACCTAATGCTCGTGTATTTTCATGAAGACGTGATAGTATCTATGCCAAGTATTTTCAAGAGACTTTATGAGAATGAAGATGTTGAAACAAATAGTTAAGCACATGACCATCTGGGTACTGGTAGTTACAGGGTAAATCGGACCTCAAATCTGGGTTTGCGGCTCGATTAACCCTGCGGCCCGATTAACCGAGACGTCGCATACCTGAAGAGGAAGAGTCTGCCGTCTCCGCCTCCGGCCAGCAGCAGCTTCTTTGAGGCGGATAAGTCGCAAGTGGAAATGATCACTTCACCGGTGGAACTTATGCTCCTCCACATCCCTATTGCATTGAAATACCTCCTTTCACCGGCGGAATGCCAACCCAATGCTTGGATGAACCTCCTCGACTCACCAGACGTGAAATATGAGAGGGTGCAGTTGTGTGTGGCCCATGAGATGTCCCGGGTCTTGCTCTGATCCGTCTCGCTCGATTCACCCTTAACTTCCCCTGAATAAGGCGATAATACATAGTAATCCCAGGTAAGTTTATTCATATGGTGTAGAATGGCCCAGTGTCTGAATGGGTTTGGGTAACATATTTAGTGTGAGATATGACATTTATCGAAGGGATTAACAAATTTAAAATTTAGGAATAGTCAATTGTATATTATTAATAGAATGTCTCAAAATCAGAAAAATCATTTGTTCGAATTGGTATTAACACTAGCTTTCAAAAGGAAAATAAAAAGAAAACAAAAGAAAAATAATAAAAAATGAATAAAGTTCTAAAGTTTCTACAATAAGTTCCTGTTTTTAGTTTAAAATTTTAATTCAATTGATTATAGACCTTAATGGAGTATTTAACATGGGAACAGAGGTTTCCATGTCTTGCAAGGTAGCTACCGTGTTTCCAGTTAGGGAGAAAATTATCAAAGCTTCCGAAACAAAGACGGGCACCAGAACACATTGTACTGCTGAGACTTAGAGTACCATGCAAGTCAGGCTCAGGTTACACTATTGAAGACAAACTTACAAACAATCACGACATCATCTTGGGACTGAGTCCTGATGTACCGAGAATCAGTCGACCAATCCAAGCGTTCAGGGTTCAGAGACACATTGAGGACGGTCCCTCGCCGAAAGGCATTTCCAGCCCTGTCCACTCTGTAAATGTACACGTTCCCCGTCCCGACGCCCAGGCTCAGCTGACTTCCATCTGCCGCAAAGCAAAATGCTCTTCATGCATGCCGTGAGAAAAAGTTATGATTAGGTGAATTTTGAATAGCGGCTTTTAAAGGTAGCTCTGACCGGGGGAAAAGCTGGCACAAGTGACATGAGAACCTCCGACAATGAACGTAACGACAAGTCTCCCGTCCTCTCCTCGTAGGACAGTGACGTGGCCCGTGATGGAACCCACAGCCAAGAGGCTCCCGTCCTCGTTCCACGCCGCGCACGAACACTCAGAATGAACCTAGGGGACACATTTAAAAATTAACATTTGACGAACGAGGATGCTAAGGAGTTTTGGGATGAGAAACTCGCCTGAACCCTCCACTCGGGCTCGTGCGCCCTCCACTTGACGATGTTGCGGTCGTAGCCAGCGGTGGCGAAAACAGGCTGGCTGGGATGCACGGCCAGGGCCCACAGTTGGCTCGCATGGCCGAACACAACCGGCTGGAATGTGGTCTCGAGCGTTCCTTGGAGAACCAGGTTCTTGGTCGTTCCCACGAACAGCTCCTCGTGCGACCCCACTCTGCTTCTACCCGCCTGGATCGCTCGCACCCCTCCGACTATCTCCGGCAACTGCATGAGCGGAACATTCCTTTCGGTGGCACCAGTTTATTAAAATTGCGAGGAAAGGAAATTGTGGAGCACCTTGACGGCTTCGAGTTGTTGGAATGTATCGCTGTCCCATGAAACAACTCTTCGGTCTTCTTCCCCTCCAGAATAAAGTGAGCCAATGGGTGAAAACAGAAGTGTACTCACAGGACCTTCGTGAGCCTGCATCGTGGGATTAATGGATGAATATACATGATTTCTGACTCAATACAGTAACTGCAAACATCATGAGAGAAAAACAAATAGTGTCGGCTGCTATGGGCTAAAAGACTCATAAGGGTGAATTATATTTAGATCACGTGTACTGTTTTCAGCTCGAGGAATTCCGGCAGGAATTTAAAATATTTGTTTCTTTAAATTGGCATGCCTATTCCCCTCTCCGAGTGCGCTATTACGAAGTTCTTCATCTTAGGTTCAACTTCATAGTAATCGAATCTAATGACGTGGCCTGACATCGAACTGGAGAAAATGTCAAGCTTAAATGCTAAGAGAAAAATCGCAGTCTCGTAAAAATTCAATAATCACTCTTGACTATCTCTGTCTTCGTTTCATCTGCCCATGAGCAGGGAAGACTGACCTGGAATTGAGCTTCAGCAGAATACTTCTTGTGACGGTGGAAAGACCACACTTTGATTGCTCCATCAAGATGCCCGGTCAGCATCTTCGTAGATGACAGAAATTCCATACTTGTTACGGCAGGCGATCTCTATTTAGGGACAAGAGCCATCTCAACTGATAGAACTGGTCAAGATAATGAGGGAAATAAGTATCCCTCGATCCGTAACCTCAGAAACAAAGAAATGAGGGGCCGAGATAGGACCGTGATCGGGTTCCATCGATTCCCTAACGAGAACAAGAACGACTCGCGAGGGAAGTCACGGGCACAGAACAAAGAGAAAAACCGAGAAGCAATGGGAAATACATGCTAGCAATATCATCGGTGATAATGCCCTAGCGGTTTAGCTCATTATGAATTAGAGCGGCAGCTCCAGCCAGACATGCACATCCTTAGCAAACACTTTGGGCGTTTTAAGTGGAACAACTAAGAGAACATGGATGAGATGGTAACCAATATGGATGAGATGGTAACCAATACTGATGAGACGGTGGGGGATAATTCCGTTTTCGAGCCTGGAAATGACTTTTCGAGCTTGTACTTACGTGGTACGCACATATGTATCGCTATCTCTATCTATTCTATTCCTCCCGCCTCATTTGTTATGCATTTCTCCTATGAGCACGCCCGCTGTTCGTGGACGGGGGGAATGACCACGCACACGACAACCTGGTAATCTGGCATCTCCTTCTCCCACATGAATGAGTAATAACAATTCATTAATGCATGAAAGCTGCGTGATGAGTGCACCCGTAATCAACCCGCATAATCTTTCGGATCTGGTCGATGGTAGCGTGCTCCTTGCAAATTCTCATCCGAAACCCATTCCACCACACCACCGCGCAACTTAATATATACATATTTCTTGTCATCTTTCAAATCGTAGTGTGGCACAATATGAAAGTCGACTGCAGAGTACTGCAATTCAAGCGTAAAATTCGGTTTTGAGGTAATTACAAAAAAATTGAGTTCCAGAATGGTTTTTGATTTTCTCATTCTTAAAACATGATCCTTGGGGTTCCCCTGTTCAGGTATAATTTAAAATCGCCATCTGAATTTAATATCAACGTACGATCGTATAATATATTCTACCGAGTCTTTCGATCATGAGAATATTTATAATTGAGTTGGGAATACCGTTCGATCCTTTTCATAGGTCGAGGCAAACTTTACTGAGGCTGTTCCATTTCTACGTTTCTATCAACTGACAAAAAATATTTAAATTATTTATATGGTATATTTAATAGATGATTTCTTAAATCCTCTGTAAGTTTTGCAAGCCTTCAAAACGCAAATATGCATTCGATTATCGTACTGCTGTTAGAATAATTTTTTAAAAAGTGTAAGTTTTTAAATCGATTCGGCTCACCTCTTCCACGAGATCGTCCCTTTCGAGCATGGCGGATCCGCGCTCCTTCCACGCTGACAAGGCGTTTCCGTGCGAGATGAGCAGGTCCTCCGCCGGGTGGAAGGCCACTCCGAGGATGTCGCCCTGGTCCGCCTGTAATGGCAGGGTCGGGACGTCCGGGTCAAATCAATAATGATCGATTGATTAATTCATTGATTTTCCGAGAAGTGGAAGTGGTCCCATGAAAAAAAAAATTAACTGAAAAAAATCCTTGCAAGCATTCAAATTGGACTAATTGAAAAAATAAATATCAATTAACTACAGGGGGTAACTAAAACGTATTTATAAGCTTGACACAAGGGGTCCGTGGGTTCAACTTCTCGTTGAAGTAAATGGAATCCTAACCTGTGCCCTGGCGACTGTTTCCTTCGGTTTCACGTTCCAGTCCCAGACGAGAAGTTCCTGCACTTCCCCCGCCATCACAGCCGCCAAGTGCTTCCCTCCGTCCTGAATTGCACAAGAAAGGTCGGTCGCGGGCAAATGTGGCGTTCGCCGCCTGAGACGCCGGAATCGGACCTGAGCGGAGAAGGCGAGGGCGCCCACGCCGATCCAGACCGAGTCGCTGAAGGCTTTCCGGGCGGTCAGCGTCCGCAGGGTGGTCAGCGTGGCCAGGGACCAGATCCGGATGTGGGGGCCGGGGTCCTTCCCGTCCTGCGTCCACCCCTCCTTCTGCCCGGATGCGACCAGCTCGTTCCCCGGATGCACCGCCAGGCTGGAATATTGTAATATCAACCAATCCGTCTTTGCCACTTTAATTGTGTCGCTGCCAATCGCGGCAGTTTAAGTTGCAAAAGCGAATTTGATAATTTAGTATAGTACCATCAGCGTTCAAATGAAAATAGAACTTTTAGTCTCCTACCTTAGGCTCCTCTTAGATTACCCTTAGGTTATGAGCAGCATCCATTGTCCCCGTTCCATTTGAATCCTTCTAGTTGATTTTAGAACTTGCATCAAGCAATGGGATTTAACAATTTATTTTCATCACGTTAGAGCAAAGTTTCTAGAAACGCTGGCTTCACTTCTTGTTTAGCGAAGTTCCTCAAAGGCACATTTCCCGATGAAGTTCGTCATAGATCTACTTACTCCGGCGCCTCCTTCTCTCCATGGTCTTCGAAAGAACGCCCCCTGTGGCGACTCCTGTGATGGCCTCAAGAACCACCCAACCGTTGTCCTTGTACTGGTATTGTAGTGGGTGAGGAACATTTACGAGCACGACAGAATTGAGTGCTTGACAGCGCAAATGAGCCATCGTTTGCGAGGACTGTTCCTCTTTTAATGAATTTCTTCAGGAATTACAAAACCTCGAAATGGATATTTTCACTAAATTCTGCTCGCCCAATCGTCCACAAGAATGGAGGAAATTCAAGAAGCATTAGGATCGGACACGGCCTCACCAGGTGACGTCTTCGGTGTGCTCCGTGTAGTGGCGCTGCTTGTCGTCGTGCCTGTCGCGTCGTTGCACGTCGTACATGACCACCACCGTCGCCACAAAGTAAAGGAGTTCCCCCGTCGGCAGGACCCACAGATTCCGCTTAGTGTCGGCGCCTTGGAATCCATATCTTCATAATAGCTCCATCAAGGAAATTACCACAATAAATAATTTAAATTAAATATTTATAGAACTTAAATATTGCTTTTAAATAAATAACATATTAGATATTGAACATTATTATTTCATAGTGCTATAATAGTTTTATGAATTTAAAATAGTAACGTTACACATTAACTTCCAACTTGAAAGTCTGGAAATAGGCATCTGCGCGAAAAGGATACACCCAGTCGAGACGAAGTTGCTTTTCGGGGGCCGATGCATTAGAGGGCGGGACATGCGAGGGCTTCGCGATGACATGGTCCTGGCCTCGAATCGTCACCGTCACTGCGTCTTTCCTCCAAGCTTGGACGCCTGGGAACAAGTCATGACAAAACACTGAAACGACGAAGCTTCCAAGAAAACTTTTAAATGAAAGATTAATGAGCCATATTTGTTCATTAGCCATCTGGCTTCATGAGCCAACTAAGGTATTAGTTGGTTCTTTCCTTGCATACCTGTGGTTCCCTTGCTTGAAGGGAGGGAGGGGGAAAGATCTCTGTTGTTGATCTCTGACCCTCTGTCGAAACTGCGATTTCTCTGCTTCATTGACCCAAGAGAGGAATCTTTCACTTCTTCCAGGAAGAAGGTGTCTTGCTCGGTGTTGTCATAGTAATGGCTCAGTTGAGAGAGGCTCCTCACCTGTTCCCAGCGCAATGGGTTAAATAGGCGATGGTAAGACAGTTGTGTATGGACAGCAAAATGAAAATTAAGGATGTACAGTATATATTGATGTAACACTAGACTATAATACAAGGAATAACACAGAACGATTGATAATATGAATTGATGAATTATGCCGAATTATGAAATCATTCAGTGAACCTCGTTATATAACTGTTGCGAACCTCTTCGCCGTTGAGGGTGTACATGGCCTTGACCTTGCGCATCTTGAGTACGTGACCGAGAATTTTCAAGACATCTTCGAAGCTCTCCATCTTCTTGCTCAACAGGCAATCGCCCTGCAAAATTCGGCAGATTTCCTTTGGCCGTTTTTGCTATTTGAACACGCTCACAGCCAATTACAAGTCACTCAGAAAAATGATTCACCTTGGAGTCGTGGTCGTCGATGTTGACGACCCAAATCCGCTTGCCACCTCGGGAGTCCCGTTTCTTTCTGTTGGGGTTGAAGGCGGGGAAGGGGGAATGGTCATCGGGTTGGAAGGGGGAATGGCCATCGGAGTGGATGGATGTATGGCCATCAGGGTGGATGGGTGTAAGGACAGCGGGAGTGAATGCCTGATAGCGTTTGACCGTTTTGGGCCGTGACTTGGCCACCTTCCGCCAGGAGGACAGCAGTTTCATTCCGTATACCTGCTCCTTTAATGCGAAAAGCGCCAATTAACATGAAATGAAGTTACGTGACATTCCCCCCCCCCAAGATTTTCCTTTCTTCAGCAGGAACACATACCTTACATGATCTGAATAATTTCTCTCAGTCTACGTTATTCGCAAAATCCCACCTTGAAATTTCCATCCGACGAGCAGACGTAGGTTCCCCCATCTTGGATTTCTTCTAGTCTTCGAATAATATCCCCGTCCATGGTGAAAATGTACCTCACTCCCAATGGGAGGCCTGGGATCCGCGCCGACAGCTGCCTGCACAGAACATCCAGGTTCCTCGCGTCTCGGCCCGGCCGGAGCCAGAACTGGAAGCCCATGAAGTTCGAGTCCCCGTTCTTGTAGAACGTGACGACCTTCACTTTCCTTGGATTTTGCGAGCGTCTGAGTTTGATAGGGTCGTAGCTGGAGGACCTGAAAAGATTTTGATCCCCCTTGGAAATCTTCCCCCTTCGGTTCCCAATTCCGGCTGAGGAATTTCGTCGCGTTTCTGGGTAAAAACCGGTTCGTGTAGGGGCCCTGGTTTTGATGTAGTCTTCGTCGTCTTCCACAGCTAATTTTCTCGGTTTTCCTACTTCGTAATTGGGACGTTGATAGTCTTCCTCACCGCTCTTGTCATATTCAATCTCCGAGTGCCCGTTCCTTGGAGATCGGAATCCATTGTGCCTGCTTGAAATCTCGGAAATCGGACTCGTCGATTTCCCTCCCTTGAAAGAGGGTGCGTTCATCGGCTGGAGGAAAGACTTCTGAGACCGAATGTTGCCGATCTCTCCCTTACGCATCGTTCACGATGCCTACGGTTTCACATACAAATAATGAGAACGCTCTTTCACTCCTGCCACTTCACAATGCATTCCACAATGACATGCGAGGTGATTCCGATCGGTCGTCTAACGCGTATGCATTGAGTTTCCAAGGTGATTTCATTTGCCTTGCGTGTCTTCCCTGCCATTCGGAAAAAACTCGCCCACAGATGGCGTTTTCGATCAATAAACCCGTTAGATTCGTTGGCACTCACAAGACACGGCCTTTGTCGATTCCATGGGTTGTCACCTGAATATTAAATGAGCGTCAGAGATGAATAGGAAGGTGATCAGCGGTCTCCGGAAGAAGCATATAGCAATCTCTCTGATAAATTAGCTCCGCGGCTTTTAATGAAATATTCATGTATTGCTCGAAAGGCTGATGTCCGTCGTGTTTGCGACCTTGAATCGACATGGACCATGACGGCAGTAATATACCCCGCATAAATAATACAGCGATGAGGTCGATCGGTCATTGATCGCCACCGAATTTATATGCGGGACCGAAGCTTTCCAAGGGATATCTCCAGCGGCACAGGGGCTAATGCAAAAATAAGTAGTAACGCCACAATAACCGCAGGAAAACTGTAGACTGACACTCGGAGGAAATGCTGAATTTCTTCACCTAATCCCTATTCCCATAATCCATACTTTTCCCATCGCATCGTCCACGCATCGAACTGAATGGGATGTCTTACCTATCGTGGAACGCCCAGTACAACGCTGAAGGTCATCAGGAAACCTGCTAGATTGCACTATGCCGTTCCATCATGTCACTCCATCACCTGACCTTGCCTCTTTAGACTTCAATACTCAAAATTCAAGTTTATTTCCTTTGTGTTCTGGTCATCATTTGGGAGGGAGGCGGGGGATTAGGTGCGAAAAAAAAGTTTAGAAGACAAATCAGCCTTGCGAGTTCAAAGTAAGTCAACTTTTAAGGGTGTACCACAGATGAGGAACAGAATTTCCACTCTATGAACCTCAACATTTACACTCCTGATTCAGCTGAGTAAGGAAAAAGGAAGAAATGTGAGCAAAAACAGACACAGGACAAACATGTCACGTTGGCATAACTGAGACCACCTCATAAGATTAATGGACTCGGACATTCAAATCAGCGTACTTGGTTAAGGACAAGTAATTAAGGACAGTTGCTGTCCTTAATTAAGGACAGTTGCTACCCTTAATTAAGGTTAGCAACTGCATGAAAATAGATGTAGTATACTATTCAGATTTTTTTGTACCATGCAGAGCATGAAATGGTTTTTTCTTAGATGTTTTTGTTTCTGGCTCGTACACGGTGTTTCTCCTGGTGTTTGGTCCAACCGATCATTTAGATGTGAACATTGCAGGGTGTTTTGTTTAATATTCCTGTATATTGTGGCACCTATACGAGAACAGCTTTCAAGCATGGAGTGACCTAGGGTATTGGCGAGTGTGCTTTGGATTTTTAGGCCTTTTCCTGTTTCAGATTATTTCCATACATAAGTAGGAAGTAGAAAACAGCTGAGATGCAAGCATAAAAAACATACGTTTTAAACAGCTGGGAACAGTAAAATTCGAGCGAGAAGCAGTTTTTACTTTGAGATGAACAAGTGAACTTAAGCACAGGCAATCAGTCAGAAGTTATTCCCAGAATGAAAAGAGCGGTCGCAGAATCATCGTATCGACTCTGTGCGATCTCTGCGACAGCCACAGCAACTCCTTGTCACCAGCTTCGATGCGCGGACACACCAAAGAAGTAGTTTGGGTTCAGGAATTGGGATTGTGTTGAAGGCTACTACGAAGGTGTGCCAGCAAAAGGTGTCCCAAGGATATAAACACAATCCAATCCCACGGGGGGAGGGCTAAATGCCATATTCAAGGAATCAAATAGGGTGGTGACATATTGACTCACATTTAGGGCAATCACACCGCATTGCAAAAATAGAAACATGGAGTGAGCATGCATCGAGTATGAAACCTCACATTCACCGAAACTGATATGCCCAGGACCTCCATACGAACAACAGGTGAATGTGACCAATCAACCAGATTAACATTAATAATTCAGACATGCAGAGAAGTTGTCGCGTTCGAACGGTTGTACTCCCCGCAGCTTTTGAAAATAGCAAAGTTGGATTCAATTACGGGAATGGCCGAGATGCGAAATATGTAATGTGCGAAATGCTGATAGCAAATTGAGACTGACAATTGACCTTTTTCGGCGGCTATGATGCGGTTAGCTCTTGAAAACATGTTTTATTCCATTCTAAGTGATCAAAAATATTTAACGTGGGAAGTGCGATCGTCGAGGAAATCTTGTTGTGGCCGCGGGCCGGAAATCCAAATGGTTTATGCTTACAATTCCCAAGAGTACAATTCGCAATATTCTTTTGTATGCATAGAAGTTCATGCGTTTTCTATTCACATCTACATTTTTGTTGAAAAATCACACTTACATCCACTTCCCTCAAGCAAGTGCCATTCAAGGGAACACGGAATATCATGCTATTCCACTCAATCACCATTCAATAACGGAACAAAATTATCTTACAATGACTGGAACAGGCAGATGAAACAGATCTGGGTGCGACATTTGCCAATACCTCCCCCTTCACTATTCTGCACTAAATGCTTCAGCTCGATAACTCAGAAGTAACCAAAGCGCAGTGCGAATAGGCCAAATACCATTCAGAGAGACACGGATCTTCAAAAAAAAAGACGGATCTCAGTCTTTGGAACGCCTTGCCTCTATGTGAGGCCCTTCGGTCTACGAAAGGACGAGACACGAAAAATGGGGAAAAGATCACATGTACCACCATGCCTGAGATGAAGTCAGGCATGGGGTTAAGAGTGGTCGCGTGCAAATCGAGGGTTGTCGGCCTTGACATGCTCGTGCTTGGCAAAGCACGGAACTCCAAGATGGAAACAAGTTATCATTAAGAACAATAAAAACACATTTTAAAGAATCGCTTCAATTAGTCCTTTTGAAAATATTCATTGCAGTCTGACCGGGCGAAAAGGTCACTTGAAAGAAGGAAATTCCAATTCGTGCAATCTTCCACCCCTAAACTGATTTTAATGTGTATGTTAACGTAGCCTGACGAGTTTTATTTTTAAAAAGGCCTTTTTTTCCCCAGAACCTTAAGTACCACTCAAATGCCCAAGAAGCTCCAAGACGGTGGAACTTTTTCTCATTTCCACACTAGAATTGAAGACATCACTGAAGGTGGATTACCTTTCAAAATACGAGAAGGAAATATTCACATCATTTGGAAATGGTGTGAAGATTTCATGTTTCCGACAATTAAATCCTTTATTTACGACCAGACTATTTTCCCGTATCAATATCAGGAAATGGAGTAGGTAGCTCTAATCCGAAGCATGATCGGGCACGCACCAAAGCCTACCAAAGCCTACCAGGCAGGTGCGGACACAATAGCACAAGGAAAACTGCTGTTATTTGGGGTTTTAGTTACAAATTCCTTGCGTTTTCATGAAACCACGTGCACAATGTGGAGAGCGGCGTCATAAAAACGTATTCTCGTTGTCTTTTACGTACCTTGGCAGATATGAACAACTTGAAAAATTCGGTACTCTGGAAGGTCTTAAAAATAAGTTTCTATAAATGCTCTCAGCTGATTCATATTTGAAGAGAAACAGTTCTGCTTTGTAAAATGCACGCTCTCGAGTGCAATATGTTCAAATGCGGGCATATCCCTAATCAATGGGGAAAAGGAAAAAGCTCGACGCACCAGCTCCAAGCAAGAAATCGACTAGAAAACTGAAATTAAATTTTATATTTCTCGTCTAATTATCAATACATAGACATGTGTCATCATGATTGGTTTTTCTGCAAACCAGGCACAACACGCGACCCATCCATAAGGGTCTCAAATTCACACCACTCAGCACACTAACTCACTAACACCACGGCATTCATTGCACCAGAGCGCCCATTCCATGGAACTCTTCACGCCAGCCTCCATTGCATAAGGGCAGCATCGGTTCCCCCAGCTGCGATGATGTTGTCATCTTGCAGGAAACGAGCGCTCGAAATGTATGCGGTATAGACCTTCTTCGTGTGGTATTTCGCTTTTGGATCTGTGCTGGGGTACCTGAAAGCAGACAAAATTTTCTTTTAAATTTTCCCTTTCGAGGGTGAGTTTTACGTCGCATACCTGAAGAGGAAGAGTCTGCCGTCTGCATCTCCGGCCAGCAGTAGCTTCTTGGAGCGAGATATATCGCAAGTGGAAATGCTCACTTCCCCAGTGGAATTTATGCTCTTCCACATCCCTGTCAGATGGAAAAGCCTCAACAAGTCCTCGAAGTGCCAAACATTGCCCGGATGAACCTCCTCGACTCACCGTATGTGAAATATGAGAGGGTGCAATTGTGTGTGGCCCATGAGATGTCCCGGGTCCAGCTCTGATCCGTTTCTTTCAACTGGCGCTTAGCATCCCCTTAAAGTGGAAAAAGTACCATGCATTCTCACCGACATGAACCTATGTCTAAACGTGCATGAAGCAATATCAGGTCTCACATATGATCACGACTGCGTCTTCAGACTGAGTCCGAATATATTGAGAATCAGTCGACCAGTCCATATGGGTCAACGGCAGAGACACCTTGATAACAGCCGATCGCCGAAAAACATACTCAGCCTTGTCCACTTTATAAAGGTATACGTTTCCGTTCTCCGCGCCCATGCTCAAAAGACTCTCATCTGTAACAAATCATCCTCCTTAGGCTCACAATACATATTATACAATTTGAAATTTGCGAAAAGTATTCAAAATCTCATCCGACCAGGGGAAAAGCTGATGCAGGAGACGTGAGTAGGTCCGACCAGAAACGAAACGAGGAGTTCCCCGTTCTCTCCTCGCAGCACAGTGACGTGGCCCGTGATGGAGCCCACGGCCAAAAGGCTCCCGTCACCATTCCATGTTGCACACGAGCACTCTGATTCAACCTGGGACACATTTATTTAAACAATTTAAATATGATGAAACAGAGTGTGAATGAGTTATGCAGTGAGACTCGCCTGAACCCTCCACTCGAGCTTGTGCGCCCTCCACTTGACGATGTTGCGGTCGTAGCCAGCGGTGGCGAAGACAGGCTGGCTGGGATGCACGGCCAGGGCCCACAGTTGGCTCGCATGGCCGAACACCACCGGCTGGAATGTGGTCTCAAGCGTTCCTTGGAGAATCTGGTTCTTGGTCGTTCCCACGAGCAGTTCCTCGTGTGACCCCGTTTTGCCTTTGCCTGCCTGGATTCCTCGCACTCCCCCCACTATTTTCGGCAACTACAACAAGGGATGTATTAAAATATGCTGATTAAGGTCATTGATAACATGGAGGCGGTTGCAGCACACCTGGGCGAAATGGAGATGCTGGAAAGTCTTGCTGTCCCACAAAACAATTTCTCCATCAGTTTCCCCTCCAGAATAGAGTGAGCCCGCAGATGAAACCAATATAGTACCAACGGGACCATCGTGAGCCTACATTTTCAGTATATTGTGCATTCATTACTCTTTGGGTAAATACACTTCATCAAGGTAGCAGAACAATTTGACAACTGATAGCTTTCAACTATTGGATATACACGTGCAAGGGCTCTCTTGTGTACAACAAGTGCAGAAAGCACTAGGTAAGTACTTGACTCATCACCAAATATACACCATCATGAGTCAATGATTAATAAGCGGTATTTAATATTTGGTGAACCAGTAGTTGACATCATTTGATGAATGCAATATGAATTTAATTGTGTTATCATACTTAATGAATCCATCACGAAATTCTTCATATGTTAACGAGAAACCATAGGATGACCGAAGGATTTCATTTAATAAGCACCAATTTAATGTCAAATTTCAGATGTCAAAAGAATTCCCTCTTTTGACGGATCTGCAGGGCAGGGGTGGCCTCCTTTCGTCTTCTCTTTCCTGTCGGATGGGAAAATGCTACGCTTCCAATGTAAATCTAACTTTCCGGGCATGGATATGAATTCCCATTGAATGTTTCCGAATGCCAGTCTTCATCCAAACAGGGCATGTGCATTCCACCTTGAAGTTCTCGCAGCCTAAAGGGAGAGTCTTGCTCTCTTCAAGTCCTTCCAATGCTTCAATTCACCGGACATTCTTGAGCGCTTTTCCAATCTTATTGCCATGTTTTACTGCCGTCAATGCTGGCGATAAAGGTTTCTTCATGATGTTCTGATGACCATGTTACACGGTGACTGGTTTCCTTTGCGCCCATTGCCAAGCGTCATTCCAGTCTGATATTACAGGTTCACTTGAACATTTCAGTGACTTGCGCATCTCTGTCATTTGACTCGCTTCAACCAATGTCATAACGGCTGCGAAGCGACCAAATGGCAGCCAGGAACGTGCGTGAATCTTTGATTTAGTTTCGTCCTCCCTATTCTATAGTTCCTCGAAGGAATCCCCTTGAAACCCTCGTCCCACGCATCTCATTCAGCCAATCATTCGGTTGCAATGCATGAGGAGAAGACAGCAGTGCCATCATCTCTCTCCCATCTCGTCCAGAAGAGCAGCTTCCATTCCTGAAACGGCTCTTTAGATACTTACACTCATCACAATGTCATGTTTTACTTTCTTTCATCTCGCTTCCCATCGACCGGAATTAGGCCAAGTTCCTGAAAATTTCGGATTACGTGAGCACAGCACAACCCACACCGAATTTCTGGGAACATTTCAATCGCAGCTTTGGATTGCTGCCTCAATGCCATATCCACGATGAAAATGTGACAGAACTCAATTCCGACGGTTCCCTTCAGAGAGCACAGAAGGAAGCAGAAAGCATTTGCATTGGAACATAATGCTAGAACGATTGATGAAAAGCATGATTAGCATTAGAGAGCACAGTGATGCAAAATGCGCATTTTTCGCATTCTCTTTGATCTTCTGTCCTAAGTCATCGCACATCCCTCGTCTTCAGGAACCTCTGATTTTGAGTCACACCATGTTTGTCCTGTTGTGAAGATCCCGCCATCGCCAAGCCTTTTCCTCTTCCTAATATTCCTCTTCACATAATCCATGGGGTTTGGTAGCGCCTTACCATTATTCAACCCATTCCCGAAACAAAACTCAACCTCATCGTATTCCTCTCTAAGATCATCAACGGGAATGAAATTTGGCATGTTTCTTTCTCTCTCAACACAGAATCGCTCCAGCAAATGAAAATCTCCTAGGGGTTGTGGAGAACACTTCATCTCGTTCTTTGAAGACGTCAATTTCGTTTATTTTTGCCCTCTCCCCCATGGGGGTTTCCACAGGAAAGAGACCAACTGCAAGAGCGGTATTGACTTGTAGACCATGAAAAGTGCCCTTTTTGTTGTTTGCGATATTGCCATAAATAAATTAGCTGTCGTTCATTTACGCTTAGCGTGCTGGCTCCGGTCCCGACCCCGTGGAGATATCCGGACATCCCTGAATCAACAGGACGGCGCGCACCATGGATTTCGCTCTTCCTTGAGGCATTCCCACCTCAGACCCATCCGAGATGGTTCGAGAAATTCCAATAGGCATAACGTTCCTCGATAAAATAGTTCCCTAAAGTAGAAATAGGCCGGCGATTGAAATTTGGCGCAATTCCGTCAATGAATTAACAGTAATTAATCAAGTTCGATCCTATTTGCCTTTTAAAATGCTTCTCCCTCAACGCATGATTTTGCAATCTGAGGTTCGAGGTTTGTGGATCTACTTCGAAGTCACCATTCCCAATGCTTGGGCAAAAATAAAACAAATTGAGAAATATCCACATTTACAATCCAACAGGTAATTCGCAGGAAAACCAACCAATTCGTTTTGTCCTTGCTTCCTGTCGACGAGCGAGAAACACTGACCTGAAATTCCTCGTCCAGAGTATATTTCCCGTGTCGGTCGAAGGACCAGACGCTGATCACTCCGTTGGCGTGCCCTGTCAGCAGGTGCTCCTTCGGGGCCGACATGAATTTCAAGCATGTAACAGCTGCCGATCCGAGTTCCTATAGCGGAGAAAACAGCAGTCGCGGCGAATGGATAGCGAAAGTAATGAGCTACATAAATAATTCCCCCGTGCATCGATCGAGAACGCCCGAGAAGGAGGGAAATATGATGGGATCGCGACTCCATCGATCCTCGTATGGGGAAACAGACTGACACGCGAGAAAACCGATCCCTTCGGCCACCATGGTTCGTCCTGGAGAAGGCTCTGGGACGGCAAATCCCAAGCTCGCGTAATTCGCATGGAGTCCTTAAGGGATGTGGATGTCATTTCAACCCACTAAAGGCTGGTTGTCCCCGTTGGTAACCACCGTTTTTGACCTATTTGGGGCTCCTTGGTGGCTGAAGGTGGTTGTCACATTACCGCAACGCACAACACACGGTTCCTCCTTCATAGTTCCTATCTTGTATTTTCCATGTTTTCATATTTAAGGAATGAGAAATTAACAAGCTTTTCCTTTTGAATAATACATATTTAAATCCTGTGAATGGGGGAAAGAGATTCCGCTTCGGAACACGTTGAGTAATCCCATTTACTTTCGCCATTACGTCCACGTGTTCGGTCAAAGAGGACATCTTGGTTATGGCCTCTCACACAAATGCATTGCTTTAGCTGATTGCATCAAGGCATTGTAGGCTCAGCTCGCTCGAGGAATGCGTAGGAGTTGGTGCTGAAATGCAAAGATTAATAATCGCTCAAGCCGTCACCTTTGCAATCACGAGTCCGTTTCTCTGACATGGACGATTAATTAGAAATGCATAAAGGCATGTCGAGGGCGTCTCGTTTCCGTTTTTTTTATGCGATTCCTGTCGTCCGACATCGTTCTCGTAAATAAACACATTTCCAAGCACTTGTTTGAAATAAATACATTGTCAAGCTGCAGGTTACTGAATACCTGGTTATTCAAACACGCCATGAAGATCGCTCACCGACAATCCCGGTTGCATGAACACGCAATACTTTGAACTTTACTCATTAAAACGTATTTGCTTTCTTCTTGCTACATTCATTATCTAATTAATAGCCTTAGAACAAATTAATTTCATTCAATTTCACTCCTTTAATTCATTTATTGCTTTTCACGGCCAATCCTCTCACAGGATTGCCACAGTAATAATGTGGAATCGTTCCTTGTCTCCTGCAACCCTCCTCCAAAAAGAATTATCGCCCACAGTAAAATGTGCCAACATATTTTCTAAACTCATCCATTATTTCCAAAAAATTGGCGACAGGTTCTCCTGCATCAGGGCCATGCCGAATCGCTCGAACGTTCACATATAATTACAATTTAGACTGAATTTAACATTAAAATTATTGATGAGATCGGCTCACCTCATCGACGAGGTCTTCTCTCTCGAGCTCGGCGGATCCGCGCTCCCTCTTCCACGTTGCCAGGCGACCCCCATACGTGATGATCAGGTCCTGCTTCGAGTGGAACGCCAGCCCCACGATGTTATTCTCGTTTGTCTGAAATATGAAATAATTTTTTTATAGCGCAAGATTGGGTTAATGGCACCATTTCCAACATGAGATTCACTTCAAGGTTTCATAGCTTCGACTTCTCGTTGAAGTGAATGGGATCCTGACCTGAGCCCTGGCAACAGCTTTCTGCGGGTCCTTGTTCCATTCCCAGACGAGGAGTTCCTGCCCTTGTCCCTCCGTCACCCCTGCCAAGTGCTTCCCTCCGTCCTTACATGAACAGTCGATCGTGAACCCAGACGATCTTCGACACGTAGGGCACCAAAAGAGGCACCAAAAAGGCAACAAAGAAAGCACCAAAAAAGGACACAAAAAGGACTAAAGGATGCCTTAAAGGACCCCAAAATGTACCTGAACGGAGAAGGCCAGCGCAACCGCGCCGACCCAGGTAAAGTTCGAGGCGTTGAGCGTCTTCAGGGTCGTCAGCTTCGCCAGGGACCAGATCCGGATGTGGGGGCCGGGGTCCTTCCCGTCCTGCGAATAGCCCGCCCTCTGGCCGGATGCGACCAGATCCTTCCCCGGATGCACCGCCAAGCTGGGAATGTGTCACGTCGAAATTAATTATCCAAACTTGCATCATGATAAACAGTTGAAACAGGCCAAGTACTGAAACAGGCCAAGTACTTCAAAGCGAATGCATAAATGGAGAATATTATTTGCCGCAAAAACATTTAATTGTAAGAACGTTTTCCTAAGGAAATTTCCTTCCAAGATCCTCTAACAAACGGTGCATTTTTCAACGATGAAACGTATGTAATAATGCTCGAGACGAGCAGTGAAAAGGGGAAAGCGAGACTTAAATGCAACCACCTAATTTTAATGCCGTCCACCGCAAAGCCATCGTAACTGGAAATGCTGGCCTTATTGATGCTCACTAGAACATATTTACGTGCCAGAGGCATTGCTCGAAGCGTTCAAGACGACCGAGAGAGAGGATGCAAAACGTTGAGACTCGAGTTCTCCCAACTCTCCGGAAGACGGAGAGGCATCACCTAGCCCCGAGAACTTCCATAAGATTGAAGGAAACGACAACCCGTGTGAGGGTCACCAAAGTGTCACATTGGACAGTAGTTCTCGACCGGTGGGACGCGGAGGCGCTGAGGGTGGGCCGTGACAAATATCGGTAAATCGCAAAAAAGGAGTTAACAATAGGACGAACAATAATTGAATAGCGTTTAATCCTGAAATGGGTCGCGGATCACTTAGCATTTCTTAAGGCGGGCCGCAGGATCGAAAAGGTTGAGAACCACTGCCTTTTAGGGGTCACCAAAGGGGTCGCTGTTCTCGGTCACCTGCCGACGCGAAGGAACCATCGTTCTAATGAGATTCATTTATTTTAAAATTGGTTGAGCAGTCGTTTGGAATCTCATTAATGGACATTTCTGCTTGATTTGAGGAACGCACAAAGGACTAGAATGGCCCAAGTCGCAGAAGCCCCAAAATCGACAAAATGGACGTTTTCTTAAAAGGGGGTTTCGCCTGTCAGTATCCAATTCTACCCGGATTCGGGAACGATCCGAATTAAACCGTCAGGATACACCAAATATAATTTTAAAAAAGCACACTTTTGGAATCGCCACTCTACACCTACAAATAAATGCAACTTGCGAGCAAAAAAAAAAATTTCCCAGGCCGTGCCCTCACCAGGTGACGTCTTCGGTATGCTCCGTGTAGTGGCGCTGCTTGTCGCCCTGCCTGTCGCGCTGCTGCACGTCGTACACGACCACCACCGTCGCCACGAAGTAAAGCAGCTCTCCCTTCGGCAGGACCCACAGATTCCGCTTCGTGTCGGCGCCTCGAAATCCATATCTTTCATCACAGCTCCATCAAGGAAGTTATCGTAATATACGATTTTAGGATTTTAATATTAACTTTGAAATGTTACATATTTATATACTAATATACTACTTACTTAAGTATTAAATATTTTTCACGTTTTCAACTTGAAAGTCTGGAAAGAGTCATCTGCGCGAAAAGGATACACCCAGTCGAGGTGAAGTTGCTTTTCAGGGGCCGTTGCATTAGAGGGCGGGACATGCGAGGGCTTCGCGAGGACATGGTCCCGTCCTCGAATCGTCACCGTCACCGCGTCCTTCCCTGCAGCGCGCGTGTCTGGGAAAGTTCCGTTCCCACCCAACCGCTGGAACAGAACGGTCTGGTGGTTCCCGGTCGGCCGCAAAATCTCGCTGTTGGAGTCTCGGTCCAGGCTCCGCTTCGTCTGCCTCGGGGGAGATGGGATGTCTCTGTCTTCTTCCAGGAAGAAGGTGTCTTGCTCGGCGTTGTCGTAGTAGTGGCTCAGCTGGGAGAGGCTCCTCACCTGTTCCCAATGTTCGCGTTGAATAGGGGATGGGGAGAAGCATGAGAAAGGACATTGAAAACTTGAGTATAACATAAATGTCATAGTATCATAAGTAAGGTAAAACAACATAAGAAATTATCTAAAGACAGCTTCAGGCAAAGTAGGTTTCTTGTAAGAATTATGCCATTAAATATTAATAATGCACTCCTATGACAATCATATAATTGTTGCGAACCTCTTCGCCGTTGAGGGTGTACATGGCCTTGACCTTGCGCATGTTCAGGACCTGACCGAGAATATGACGAACTTCTTCGAAGTTTCCCGTCTTCGTGCTCAACAGACAATTGCCCTGAAAGATTTGACAATCGAAGTCCCTCAGTTCATTTCGTGTTAATAGTTGAATAATATAATTGGTGGTAGATGGTTTGGGGGGGGGGGGGGGGGGGGGGGGGGGGGGTGGGGGGGGGGGGGGGGGGGGGGGGGGGGGGGGGGGGAAGTGATTTGCCTTAGAGTCCTGATCGTCGATGTTGATGACCCAAATCCGCATGCCGCCTCGGGAGTCCCGTCTCTTCCTGCGAGGGGGCGAGGCGGGGAGGGGAGAACGACCATTGGAGGGGAAGGCGGTATGAGCATCGGGGTGGAGGGGGGAACGACCATTGGAAGGGAAGGCGGTATGGGCATCGGGGTGGAGGGGGGAACGACCATTGGAAGGGAAGGCGGTATGGGCATCGGGGTGGAGGGGGGAACGACCATTGGAAGGGAAGGCGGTATGAGCATCGGGGTGGAGAGGAGAACGACCATTTGAGGGGAAGGCGGTATGGGCATCGGGGTGGAGAGGAGAACGACCATTTGAGGGGAACGCGGTATGAGTATCGGAGTAGAACGGAGAAAAGTCATCGGGGGTGGACGGCCTGGTGCGGGCTTGGCTGAAACGTCTCAGCTGGGTCTTGGCCGTCTTTCGCCAAGAGGAGAGCACTTTTAATCCGTAAATCTGTTCCTAGAATTCGAGAAATTCCATTTGAGTAACTAGTCAGCAATTTCGGGGGAAACACGGACAAGCTTAGCTTTCCATCGAGCGAAGTACAAACAAGTGCATCGCATTGAGAACTAGTCAATGCCCTGAAAGACTGACAGCAATTACTCATCGTTCGCATCGAAAGTTATTGTGTAACAATCATTGACTTTAACTCGTATATTCTGGCCACATTCACACATGAGAATAACATCAAGTCTGATTAAATACACCTAGTCCAAATTTAGTTCAAATCAGTCGCAACGCATGTCACCTTCAAGTCCCTACTATGAATTTCACATCTACAAATTGGTGCAACGGTGTAACGTCGCGAGGAAGTTGCGAAAAACCGTCACACGAGTCAAGACAACCCTGATAATTGCACTCGCATTAATGACAAGAGGCATTAATAGATTTGGATATTTCTGCAGGAGTAGAGGCTGATGGACTTCATCGACCTCATTGACCCGAGCATTTCTAGGCACCAGAGCTATGATTTGGAACATTAGCACCAGTCAATTTGCAATTAGCAGGTAATGCACATTCGTTGTCATGTCCTCCCATTAATCGCCCATGGCAGGGATGACAAATTAGATGTATCCATTTGTGCTCTAGGTAGATGCCATATATAGGAACATCATAACGAAGCAGAATAGCATAATCCTACCAAAGATACATTGGAGCATCATATATAGACAGTTCTGCCCCTGGAAAACCAAGGACTCTAAAATACTTGACGGATTAAACGGAACGAGGGCGATATTTGAGTTGATCCTCAGAATCTATGGATAGTTAGCTCGAATATGGAATCCACATGGTGAAGTCATTCAAGGTTCCTATCCTATATTATATATTATATCCCTAAATTATATGGAAGATTCCTATATTGAAACATATCAAGTCAGCCAATGAGTTTCTATTAGCTTCATTCAGAACCTACAGGAATCTCAGACAGAGTCAAAACATTTTAAAGTTCAATTCGTAAAGTCCGATGTGAAATTCCTTAATGTTTTATTAAAGGAAACTCATATTGAAGGGACCCTGCACGGCTCCCAAAAGATAAATATTAATACTTCCCGTAGAATGCCTTGTTTAGCGTACCAAGGTTCCCCGTGCAACCTCATGGATGTCGGCCCATATCGCAAGCCTGTTTATGCCGTCTTCATATCGAAAGGTTGAATATTGGGTGTCTGGGTGAAGGAAATTTTTCTATAGAATCCATTATCCTGTAAAAATGAGCGTTTTCAAGACGGCGTGAAATCGCAACCATCATACAATGAAGGTAGCACCAATTCCATTTGCCATAGGACGTGGCTCTACTTGCCATGAACATGAGTTAAATTAGTCTGAGTACTCTGATATACTAAAATTGGAAGTTTAAAACTTTCACCTGGTCTACTTTTTCAGTTTAGATATGCTTTTGATACCACACCTTGAAATCGGGGTTCGAGGAGCAGACGTAAGTTTCTCCATCTTGGATCTCTTCCAGTCTTCGAATGACATCCCCGTCCATGTTGAAAATGTACTTCACTCCCAATGGGAGGCCTGGGATCCGCGCCGACAGCAGCTTGCACAGAACATCCAGGTTCCTCACGTCTCGGCCCGGCCGGAGCCAGAACTGGAACCCCGTGAAATTCGAGTCTCCGTTCTTGTAGAACGTAACGACCTTCACTTTCCTTGGATTGTGCGAGCGTCTGATTTTGATGGGGTCGTAGCTGGAGGACCTCTGTAGAATTGGATACCCTCTTGAACTCCTCCCCGCAGAGGAATTTCGGCGCGTTTCTGAGTAAACGCTGGCTCGGGTAGGGGCCCTGGTTTTGATGTAGTCTTCATCATCTTCCACAGCTAATTTTCTCGGTTTTCCCACTTCGTACTTCGGANGTGTAACGTCGCGAGGAAGTTGCGAAAAACCGTCACACGAGTCAAGACAACCCTGATAATTGCACTCGCATTAATGACAAGAGGCATTAATAGATTTGGATATTTCTGCAGGAGTAGAGGCTGATGGTCTTCATCGACCTCATTGACCCGAGCATTTCTTGGCACCAGAGCTATGATTTGGAACATTAGCACCCCTCAATCAATTTGCAATTAGCAGGTAATGCACATTCGTTGTCATGTCCTCCCATTAATCGCCCATGGCTGGGATGACAAATTAGCTGTCTCCATTTTTGCTTTAGGTAGATGCCATATATAGGAACATTATAACGAAGCATAACAACATAATCCTTACCAACGATACATTGGAGCATCATATATAGACAGTTCCGCCCCTGGAAAACCAGGGACTCTAAAAGACTTAACGGATTAAACGGAACGAGGCCGATATTTGAGTTGATCCTCATGAGCTATGGATAGTTAGCTGGAATATGAAATCCACATGGAAAAGTCATTCAAGGTTCCTATTAAAACATATCAAGTCAGCCAATGAGTTTCCATTAGCTACATTCAGAACCTACTGGAAGCTCAGTCAGATTCAAAACATTTTAAAGTTCAAATCGTAAAGTCCGATGTGAAATTCCCTAATGATTTATTAAAGGAAACTCATATTGAAGAGACCATGCACGGCTCCCAAAAGATAAATACTTCCAGTAGAATGCCTTGTTTAGCGTACCAAGGTTCCCCGTGCAACCTCATGGATGTCGGCCCATATCGCAAGCCTGTTTATGCCGTCTTCATATCGAAAGGTTGAATATTGGGTGTCTGGGTGAAGGAAATTTTTCTATAGAATCCATTATCCTGTAAAAATGAGCGTTTTCAAGACGGCGTGAAATCGCAACCATCATACAATGAAGGTAGCACCAATTCCATTTGCCATAGGACGTGGCTCTACTTGCCATGAACATGAGTTAAATTAGTCTGAGTACTCTGATATACTAAAATTGGAAGTTTAAAACTTTCACCTGGTCTACTTTTTCAGTTTAGATATGCTTTTGATACCACACCTTGAAATCGGGGTTCGAGGAGCAGACGTAAGTTTCTCCATCTTGGATCTCTTCCAGTCTTCGAATGACATCCCCGTCCATGTTGAAAATGTACTTCACTCCCAATGGGAGGCCTGGGATCCGCGCCGACAGCAGCTTGCACAGAACATCCAGGTTCCTCACGTCTCGGCCCGGCCGGAGCCAGAACTGGAACCCCGTGAAATTGGAGTCTCCGTTCTTGTAGAACGTGACGACCTTCACTTTCCTTGGATTGTGCGAGCGTCTGATTTTGATGGGGTCGTAGCTGGAGGACCTTTGTAGAATTGGATACCCTCTTGAACTCCTCCCCGCAGAGGAATTTCGGCGCGTTTCTGAGTAAACGCTGGCTCGGGTAGGGGCCCTGGTTTTGATGTAGTCTTCATCATCTTCCACAGCTAATTTTCTCGGTTTTCCCACTTCGTACTTCGGACGTCGATAGTCTTCCTCATCGCTCTTGTCGTATTCAATCTCCGAGTACCCATTCCTCGGAGATCGGTAACCAATGTATTGCTGTGGTATCCCAGGAACTTGACTCGTCGCCTTGCCCCCTTTGTAGTAAGTGGGAGCATTCACTGGCCGGAGGAGTGCATAGTGAGATCGGATGTTGGCGATGTTTCCCTTACTCATTCTTCGCAAGGTATCGCATGCAGATTGAAGCGGTCGTTCACTCGCTCTATCTCGCAATCACGCTCACACGGGAACTGATTCCCCACTGTGACAGGTGGTGCTATTTCCCAAGGTCGTATCACGTAGGCGCATTGCCAGTTACCTAGGTGATTTCATTTGCCTTGCGTGTACGCCATCAGGAAAAAGAGTTGTCCTCGCACGGCGCCACCGATCAATGAAGCTATTAGGTTGTTTTTTCGGGAGTGGAAGGGTAAGCTATTTTTCATTCATTTAGAGCGAGCATAGGAATATTAGATGAGCGCCGCTGAAAAATAGCAAGGTCGTCAGTGACCATTAGTAGAACCATACAGCAATCTCGAAGACAAATTAGGCACACAGCTTAGAAGGCAAAGCTCAACACGGAATAGAACCCTGTATCGAATAGGGCCATATACGCGACAATCTATGCTCCATGAATAATCCATCAATGTCGTCAATCGGCATCGACCCCTGCTGATGTCATCTGCAGAATATCAAAGTTATCGTGATCATACATGATATATCACGTGTAAATATCTAAATATCGAAGGGAGAAACCAAATTTCTTATCGCTCCCTCGAGCAACGCAAAGCAAGATGGGAGACTTCCATGGTATTGGACTTCTGATTGAAAAACGATTAGTCGCACACGAAACCTCTTCAATGCTGAAGTGAAATCGACCGAGTCACTCCCAAGAAAATACATTTATCTTGCGAAGCTTTGTTTTCATGCCACGAAGAAGAAAAGGGAGGAAGGAATGCGGTAGGGGGGGGGGGGGGTTAACATGAGAAATTCGCCATTAGAGGGAAGACTTCATGAGGTTGCTCCCAATACAGTTTGATTCATTTCTGGGCTGTCCCACAAATGGAACATGAGAACAAGATGCATTCCGTCTCCAATATTGCACTAGAGAAACATATTACTCCATTACAAAGACCTGCCACAAAAATTCGGCCACCTGTTATTGCAATTTTAGTTTTGTGCGAGAGAATGAAACAAGCGATCGAAAGCGATTTTTCATTTTAGTACTAGGTCGAGCCTCATTTTGCAACACGAAGAACATATCCTGTTGGGCAACGAATCACTAAGATTTCGCATTAAGGTCTGGTCTAGTTCACATCTGTGTGAAAGTTTCCTCCAATTCCACGATGTTGGCGGGACTCGAATGGGCTACTCTCAACCCGGAGGATCCAGATGCTCGAAGGGATTCATATCTGGACTTTCGAATCAGGGAAGAGGTTGAGGTGCCTTGATTCCTCCTCAGGACCGGGCTCACACGGGAGGTGTGGCATGAGGTGCCATCCTCTTGAAACGTATCGGGGTTAACTAGAGCAAAATGAGAAATATCACGGGATCCACCAGGTTTTCGCATGGTGATATAGCACACATTATCTCCCCACTTGCAACCAATATGTTCTATTTCTACCTAATCCCATCTGAAATACGAAACGTTAAGTGAGATTACCATATCCTAAAGGGGTGGTTACTTTTCCATGCTAGGGCCCCATATTCAGAGCGGTGACAATAGGTGCGAGCGCTGAGGCATTGATGGTGAGCTAGTTTTTGTTTATCTTTCCTCATAACTTCATTGCGTTTTTGCGAATTGAAGCTGTCGCCCTTGCTTGGTTGTGCTCAGGATATTAGATCATTGTTTGACTATTAATATCTCTAATATTATAATTTGCTACCTAACATGCAGTTCCAAATGCAATAATATAAGTATAATCTATGTGAAGCCTGGTTCGCTTAGGAATCCTTGCCCAAGGTAATTGATTCCGTATCGGCCACTACGAACCTTTCCAAAGGGAGCAAATTCTCTAAATCAATAACGATAAGGCAGCTTGCCAGTAAGATCATAAATACCTCGTGTAATTTAGTCTCACCGGCCACGCCAGAGTACCGATCGTCACAGTTCCCACAGTAGACTTATCTCCCCTGCCAGCCGCGTTTATCGTCCTCCTTCCCTGTCGAGCTCCCTGCCACGTGCTGGCTTCTCACGCTGGGACGCCGTGGTCGCAGCCTATAAGTACGACACCATTCGACTCCTCGCGCATTCACTCTCCCGTCAACGAATCACCTCACACCGAGATGCAATCGGTCCGCTTCGTCCTTTCTCTTTCATTCATCTTTTGCTTGCGTTCCAAGAGACGAGCGGGCAAAACCCTTGTCCCGATCAGGAGGACATCTTCCCTTGCTACTGTAACAACGCTTCCGTTGTCTGTTCAGACGCAACGTCGAGCGAGGAGATCTACTCGGTATTCAATGACGTCTATTGGTCCTCAACGGAATTAACGTGAGTCATTACGTGGGAAGAAATTAATAGTTTTTTGAATGGCGACTTGCACCTTCACATGATATAATCTTTCTATAAAAAAAACCTATCGCATCTTTACTCAACCAGTGACAGGCATCTAAAAGTTCTATGTTGAAATCAGTTTGCTTTGGTACAAAATAATGAAAGGTCATGCTTGAGAAATGAATCGTAAATACGCTTGAAAACTAGATACAGACTGATTTGTTTCAGATGCATGCATTTATAATTAAGATCTACATGTTTCGTGTTGAATCGCAGGTGAAATTACCAATTAGCTTTTAAAATTCCCAATAAAATTGCAGCCTCTCATGCTGACGATACCACTATCTCCGCCATCAACAATCGCCGCTGACACCTGGTCCTGCGGGGTGTACCAGTACTGTTCGACGGCAGGACTCATTAATTACCCAAGAAGACATGGATGTGCTTGAGGATCCTGAGGGATTTTCCAATAATGAAGAAATTGATGCAGCACTATTGTTCTTATTCATGAACAATCCCCTTTTGAAGAAGGATTTCAAAGTTATACAGTGTTGCATTCGCTATGGTGACCGATTGCGGAACCAAAATAAAGTTTTTGTAAATTTGCAGGGTAAATTGAAAACACTGACTTCGTGTCTCAAATGCATTTTCCTCTGATGTCAACAACATTCAAGTGCATGATTCTGCAGGTCCAGCCTTGCCAGTTTCATCACTGCGCCAACTTGCAGCAATGCTGCATACCCCAGTCATTCTAGTGGAATCCCCCAAAATCCACCAGCAGAGAGGAGGAAAACGGTGCGGGGTATTTGGCATTGCAAATGCTATAGCAATTCGCTCCAATATCGATCCTTCAACGGTTGTCTGGCAAAGGTCTTCGTCATGCTGTCAGGAAGGCACTAATCGCAGGCCGTTCGACCTGCATCGACCAACCCAAGCTCAAATCGGTGCAAGTTTATTGCTTTTGCAGGCAACCGCATTGAGACGATGTGCCACAAACGGTCATTTGCAGCGGGTGCAAATAATGGTCATCATGATTTGTGCCATGAAGTTGTGTCATGTGAAGTTCCTACTGAAGGGCTGGCAAGCCTCAGTCAGGCCTAACGTTAAGTCTACGGTTAAAAATATTTCGCACAATCACTAGAAACGAAATTTGGCAACAAAAAAAGACTGAAGGAAGAACCGTAGGGTGCCTTTCCCATGGAAATTTTCTAGGAATGGATTATTTCCCTATAGGCATAGACAGGCAAACCACATTCGATTCTTAAGGAGAAAGACGGTACGGCATACAACATGTTAAAAAAAAGCTCTCAAGCGACAGCTGGGATGGCGACTTTCCCTTGTATTTCTTCCAAGAGTTAGTTAGACAGCCGGTGGGGTGCCATATTCTTTTCTCGTCGAAAATTTTCTCAAATAAACACCGTGAGAAATGGGATGAGTATGTCCACAAAAGCACTCGCATTGCAGCGGAAAATTCATTCTTATTTTCTAAGCATCACCCTATCAGAAGTAATGAATGGAAATATTTAACATATAAAGAAATCCCTACAGTGACGCCACTTGCCTTCGGAACCCTCTTTCTCCTCTTATTCTCAATGCTAATGATCCTTTTCCAGATCGAGTTCCAGGCTCCACCAGCATTCAACAATTATATAAGCCAACATATGGCCCAGGGAGTTTTGAATCTTAAAAAATTCCTTCTTTGCAAGCCATTATTACCTCGGCTCAGCACCTGGAAACGCTCAAGAAAAAAAGCATTGTGGCACAATAACTAAAGTGATACAAGTTGCTTCCCCAAAAGCTAAAGGAATTAAATCTTCCATTTTCAGGGAAGGAGACAAAGTATTATTCCGCAACTTCAGGAAGAATGACTGGTAAGGTCCAAATGCGATCGTGGAAGCAAGAACCAGGTAACACTGAAAATCATAGATGGAAAAATTCTGGTCAAAACCTATGATATCGGTCATCTCAAGTCTTTCCGTCGCCGTGATCAAAGCAATTTTTTCCAGATACTTGGAGAAGTGTTAATATAATACGGCTCGAGCAAATTGGCATACGCTTCATAGGAGACAATCCAGCAGACATTCGGCTCCATCTGCACCACCTTGGGGTGAGGATACCCCCACCACTTCCATCAGCAATCACAGACAACACCGGGTCCTGTGGGGTATGCCAATACTAATCGATGGCAGGACCCATCAGTTACCCAAGAAGACATGGATGTGCTTCAGAATCCCTCAGGATTCTTCAGTGATGGAGTAATTGATGCAGCAACTATTGTTCTGGATGAACAATCCCCTTCTTTAGAAGGATTCCAAAGTTATACAGTGTTGCACACAGAAAGCTGTGGTGGCCGATTGCAGAACCAAAATAAAGTTTGTGCAAATTTACCACGTAAACGGAAAACACACCGAAGCACAGAATTTACTTAAAGGGAGGTTACAGTTATGGCCAGTGCACATACTAAGACGTCCAGGTCGGAACGGTCAAAGTAATGTCGCGGTTTGACGTCGTTACGACTTATGAGGTCAGTAAGCAGTGGAATTCTCCAAAATCCACCAGCAGAGAGGAGGAAAACGGTGCGGGGTATTTGGCATTGCAAATGCTATAGCAATTTACTCCAATATCGATCCTTCAACGGTTGTCTAGCAAAGGTCTTCGTCATGCTGTCAGGAAGGCAATAATCGCA